TGTGATTTCGCGCGTCTGCAAGAAATTTTTGTGTGAGCATTACAGTAGAACGCAGGGGTTGGTTTATTTTCGATTTCAGATTCTACTGAGTCGCTACATTGGTCGCTACATTTTCATCTCCTCTACTATATTTGGGTTGAAGAAATTCATTTTTCCCCAGACATTCAGTTTTTTCTTTCATTTTATCATGTGTTATCATGAAAAAGATGATGAATGGTTGTTTTTTGTATATGTTATCCTATAGCCGTTTCAATTATTTTTAATCCGATTATTCGTACAAGGAAAGTTGCTGCCACTGATATCAAATACCCATGAATGTTATTTTCTATAAATGTCAAATTTTTTTAAAAATCCTTTCAAAAACGTTCTGTGATGTATACATGCATACATGTAGGGTTAGATTACGCTTGACTACGTTGTAGAAATGAAAATATGAATTCCAATTAAGTAGTCTGATGTTTCCCTTCTATAGAAGAAGAAAATATCTTTTTTTCTGTGTACTGCGCAGAAATTTAATGCATTCTCCATTTTTAGCTAACCTAATGTGGAATTTTCAGTATTTTTGCAAAACAAATTTGGAATATTTTGTTCCCTATCATGAACTGATATCATTTAGAGAACGACTGAAAACAAAGAGAACTGGGCAGCTATTTTGTCGTAATCGGGGACTCTTAATCAATACTCCTCGCCCAATTTTCTCCACTGTGGATAAAAATCGAGACCTAACCAAGTTCGTTGAGCAATTAACCATTTAGGAGGGGATTCAACGACTCATAAATTCTGTCATCTGCAAACTCCTTAGTGTTATGCATCAATCATTATTTGCATATGTCAAGTTGTTAACTTCAATTTCAGATAAAGGTGCCACTTTCATGAACTGGTTCGTTCTCATGATTCTTGCATCATCTATGACATTGAAGTTGTAGCTAAGTCAAATGTTAAATAACTCGTATTTTGTCTTTCCTCTGGAAGTTTCTAGTCTTTCCATATCACATCATTTTCAATGAAGATATTTCTTCCAACGTGCTACGTAAGAAAGTTAAGGCAGTCTAGTATCACTCAGTCGCTACATTCTAACTTTGTTAGTTCTTGTGTTCTACTTATTCTTCTTTATATCTTCTTCTGAACCTTTTCTTGGCAACTTTAGAAGGACTATTTCACTGCGTAAAGCAGCGAAAGCCATCAGCCGGGCGAGTGAAGCGTTGCTAAATCAAGTCGTCCAAAGTGTTGTAGATGGACACATAAACTCCTGCAATAAATTAGCTAATATTATTTTGTCAGACTCTGAGCATCCTCTCTATACACGACTCTCTCCTTGCATCTCATCAAGTGAAACTAGAAGTGTAAAAACAGAAGACAAGAGTCAGGCAACAGATCGTTTATTAAGGAAAATCAACACATATTTATAGATTTTAATGCACATTATTGTAGATTATTGTTAGTAGAAAATACAGTCTTTTGATTGGTTGTTTCTCACAGAAAGTTAACCTTGCATCTCTTTGTGGCTGTGTCAGATCATCTATATGCTAACTGTATCCACCTACGCAAAGCCTTTGTTCTCATTTTCTCACCACCAATATTGGGGACATAAACATTGACGTCAATTACTGTCTACCAACTTTGGCTAGCAGCCAGCTGTCACCACAGAAGTAACTATAGAAAACTTGATGGCCAGACAGCTGAGTATAAAAACTGGACCATACCGTATCTAGTACACATTTGATGTGATGAGAAAAGCGTGATAATAATAGCTTTATTGTAATAAGTTATATATAAGAATAAACTTGGCAGTGTGGTAGAGTGTAATTCCATTATGGTAAATTTTATTTTGATAGAGTCTCACAGTGTTATACAGTAATATTTACTGATGACGTTTCGAGCACAATTTATTGCTCATAATCATATCAAGGTAATCACACGACTTCCTAAATTTATTTATATAGTTCCATTGTTTTTCACTTGATTTGATTGGTAGTAGTATTTTCCATATTTCGGGTATGAGTGATGAATCATTTCTATTGCATGTGTTGGGTGTAGATTCATGAACTATATAAATGAATTTAGGAAGTCGTGTGATTACCTTGATATGATTATGAGCAATAAATTGTGCTCGAAACGTCATCAGTAAACATTACTGTATAACACTGTGAGACTTTATCAAAATAAAATTTACCCATAATGGAAAGTGTTTTTATAATATGGAGAATTTTTTGGCGGAGTATATTGCGTAATATATTCTGTTCATCCAGTATCTTCGAATAAAATATTAATTGTAGGTCGTATGACAGACTACACTCTGACCGAGAGCGTAAATCAATCTATTAGGATGTCTCTTCTTTGTCTCCTTCAAGAAATGCACGACATTTGGTTGAATGTCGATTATTAAGAGTTCCAGAGTACATTTTGAGAATATAAGATACAAAATAGGAACAGTTACCTCATGTTTTGGGATACGTTGCAGCCCACAAGTTTGCTTACTCTCAAGTTTAGTAGAATCTTGCAAATCATTAGTTTGTAGACATGACAAATAGTCGCATGAGTAGAAAACACCATTAGAGGTTATATTTTATTAGTGTAAGACAAACTGAATGAGAGAAATGATATGTGATATATTGATGGTGGGTTTCTGTAACACATGTTTTGAGGCACAGGACTACAAATTTACTATACTATCGTTGGCCGTACCCAGCGGTTGTTATCCAAACGTATCATCGAACACTTATCCTCATTGTTTCATAAAGGAGAAAAAAGATCTTCATACAGCAGCTCTATTCTGGAACAACTCATCGAATTCGGACACCAAGCCAGTCCACAACGGAACTTCAAAGTCATCTACAGAATACATGGGAATGTTGTTAAAATAGTACGAATCAAACTTCTTCAAACCGCAGAAGCAATGGCAATTCATATGTTAAAACCTGAACTTTGTATACAAAAGAAGTTTGTTCAGTCATTAAATCAACAGTGGACTTGACCTAACTTAACATCAAATAAGCAATTTTGGTTTCGTCTGTTTCTCGATCTTTTGCTTTCTTAATTGTACGATATTTTCTGCCCTCACCCTTTATTAAATCTCTATCCCTTATTACCACTGTTGTTAACTTGAGTTTTGTTCAATTTTATTTGAGTTCTACTCAACCCGGTCGATTAGATTACGTCACTCAACTTGCTTATTTTGTCTTGTTTTAGTTTCTACCCTATCAACGCTTTCTAAATTATATAATTTATTGCCTAAAATTTAAAATTCTAATGACAAATCTTTGATATCGCCAAAAAGGGTAACTCATCGTTGAACCCCTTTTCGATTATACAACTCAGTGGGAATTTTAAATTTTAATCTCATGCTCATGTTCAATGTAAATGCCCGCTAAATTATTTCTCCTTGTATCACGCAAATGTTAAATTAGACGCACTATTGTACCGCACACCGAAAATTCCTATTGCG